GGCATATTGGACACTCATGCCTCTTTTATTTCTTCCTGCTACCTCCTTCAACTGCTCCTTTGTACCAGTTCTTTCTTCTACCAGCTGTGGACTTAAGCAAGGGAGGATGCATGAAGAATCCATGTGTGGCATCAGGCCACATAGACTTATCAGGAATGGATGTGATGGCACCTTTATTTGCAGCTTTGAATTTGGCCACAAAATAGCATTCATCCATATGGTTTTCTAGCTTTTCACCAGGTATAGATGTTATGTAGGCAATTGCATGCTTGCATGGTATTCCTGACCCTTGCCAAGCCCTACAGAAACATGTCCTATTTCTTAAGTCCACAATAAATCTGAATCCAGTCCCCCCCTTAGCACAAACTTCAGCAACTCTATCATGTTCTGTGATGACCTCAATGTCTAGGTTGAAGCTGCCTTCCCTCAACTACTGCATAACATAAGGTAGATTATTCCCTACAAACTTCTTGGTCGTCTTTTTCCTAGTATTCCATTTAATCAACAGCTTCTGCCTTATGTTATCCATCAAATCATCAATATGCTTGGCCTTCTCTACCCTTATCCAGTTATTAAAGGACTCGGCCAAATTATTGATTACATAATCCACCTTGGAGTCTGTGCCAAACTGACTTATGATCCATAGCTTCTTGTGATTCTGTTGCAGGTACTTCATTGCCTGAAGTTTGGCTGCAACCATGGCCTGGTAGTGTTTCTCAAACATGTATTTGCTCCAAGAGTAGGCAGATGCCCACAGGTGATCATAAAAAAATTTACAACTGAACCTTTTTTAAAATTTTGAACTAAATGCCACATGCGCTCTCTATGTTCAGCATGTGGAAAGACCTCACTAACACCATGCATTATTGCCTACCCACAGTCTGTGCAGAATGTCAAACCAGGTGGGGTGCCTATTGCTTCCTTCAACCTCTTCATAAGCCAAACCAGTTTTCATTTGTTTCAGAATCAATGACACCTATTGCTACTGGGTACATCCAGTTGTGCGCATCAACTGCACAAGCAATGCACAACTGGCCCCGAACTTTCCCCACAAGAAAGTGCTATCTACTGCCAAATATGGCCTACAACCTCTAAGGAAGCCATCAACACATAGTTTCAGGGCTAAAAAACTATTAAACCTAATCTTTTTGTTGATGGTGTGGTGATCAATCACAACAAATGAACTAGAACATGTTTCATCTAGCTGGGCCTTAAATCTATATAGGTTATCAAATCTTTTATTCTAGGACCCATATAGTTTATCCAATGCAAGATTCTTACCATTCCACACCCTCATGCACGGTATCAAGTTTTTATACTCATCCTTCAGCCTCCTTTGGAGTTCAGTAGCACCAACAGTTGCATCTTCTTTCAACCAGTCAATCACTTGTTCAGAGACCCAAAACTATGTAACCCCTTAGTACTCCCACAACAGTAAACTATGTACCTTCTTGTGTCACTCTTTTCAATGTCATAATGAAACTCATGTGTTGACAACATATGAAGCTAAAGCCAGCTTAAATGCATATATGTCTCTATACACACTGTCTACTGTCATAGGAGGATCCTTCTTGTCATACTCAGCATCAGACATATGATCAGGCTCATTATCTTTAATAATGTCATCTACATCCTCTATTTCATAATCATCATCATCATCAGACATAGAATCATCATCACTGTCTGTTTCACAGTATGTATCTACATCAGATCCTTCATGATCCCTTTGTTTGCTGCACCCTTGACTCTAAGTTTTTGGAGGTGGTGGATGTTGAGGACCAAGGTCTATATACAGACCTTCCTCTTCAACACCCACATGCTCATTGGATGGGTTTGGGTTAGCTAGGTATTCATCATCTGCAGTTCACTCTAGGTATGGCTTGGTTGTGCAATGCTAGGACAAGGCAGTGAATGGGTGAAGGGGTTCTCAACAGACTGCCAAGAACTGCTAAAATCCTAAGGAGGAATTTCAGGAGGCTCAGTACTGGGGTTGTGGTAACCAAAAGTCAGAAAGCAACACTTGGAAGCATTATGTTTTGCAAACATGTGAAGCAAATCTTGGTCGATGCAAACTTGGATGTTCATCTGTCTCTCAATGCAAAAGTAAAACAATCTCACAACATCCCCATAATAAGAAGGATACTTATTCTCAACTTCAGCAACCAGATCTACGAAGTTGGTACGATCAGCATCGACGACTTTGTTCAAGCTAAACCACTGAGCACGAGTTTGGCGAGCAATTATCCGGATTTCTAGGTTGTAGCTACTAGCAGGGTCCATCCTACAGATGAACAGCAGCGAGTTCACATACATCTATCTATCTAAAATCATACTATATCAACCACGACCACTACACCTAACTGACCACAATCACAAGGACCAACCAATCGAAGCGAGAAAACCCTAAAAATGGTACTCACCCATCAGGAAGCCAGGGAGGTCGGTCGCCCACGCCCGCCCCCTTGTTCGCGGCCATGCGTCGCCAATCTAGAGGATCCACGGTCTCTTCCTTCGGGCCTCCTCTTCCTTGCTCCACTACCCCATTCCACGGCGCAAGCACGGGGGGATTGGGGGGTTCTTCTCTCCGCGCCGCAGCCGCAAGCAGGGCCGGATTGTCTTTTTCTCTCCCCGCCGACGTCGCTAGGGTGTGGGGGAAGAGGACTCGAGCAAGATGGGGAGAGTGAGGGACTAAGGTGGCGGTTAATCGTAGTCAACACGGTCTCCATCGCCCAAGGGCAACATGGACAATTTCACTGACCGGTCCCACCTGTAAGGGCTACCAAACGGCGAAAAACAAACAGAACAAGGACGGAATGGCTTGTAAGGCAAAGAAGTTTAGAACAGTGGCACCTGGATACGGTTAACTTTTTTAATGGCTTGTGTGTAATTATAAACTTTTTAATGACACACGGGTAAAAGGCTCTTATTGGTTCATATATGGCCATTGATATCTTGAAATATCAAACTTATACTTTAGTTGCTCCTCAGAGTACGATATGGTGTGAAAACCAAAACCATACCGAGATAAGAATGTGCTTTTTTTTCTGGACTCGAGTGGAAATCTGAACTATTCCAATCAATTCATACGCCAGCACCGCTATATTCAAAACGAGTCCTTAATTGCTGTTTAGTGGGATTATCCATATGAACATAGTTTGATGATCAAATTAATATGAGGAGTTTAGGTGCATTTGGTGGTCATTTGGTTCATCCAAGAAACAAGGTGAAACATATTTTTCTAGTTTCTAGGAGAATTCGAGAGATGTTCTCCTGTTTCTCCTGGGAAACAATTTACGTTTGGTAGGGATCTCATACTGTTTTTAGAGAGGAAATCATTTGAATAATCTCTACCAAAGGCAGCCCTAGCATTCTAAACACAAAAGCTTGTGGTCGAATACACGGGAAAAAGGCCGAAAGCAAAATTTCCAATTTTCAAATCCTAAGGGAAATTGAACTGACATATGTAAATCCAATGTGAGCACCGCTTTAAGCAGGAGGTTTCCGTAAATCCAATGTTAAATTATTCAAAACCACGAGGTATATCTGAAATAAACTTGAGAGAGCACCGCATCCGCATGTCCAATAAACCCGAGTCGCCGTACGACTACGACCCATTCTTTCCAACTATCATTAAAAGTGTCACCGGATGTGACATGAAGGTGTCGCATTGAGTGTTCGATACTAATAAAAAAATAAATTATAGAATCCATCAGTAATTCACGGGATGGATTTATTAAGCCTAATTGATCCGTCATTAGCACATGTGTTATTGTAGTATCACATTATCAAATCATGGATTAATTATGTTTAAAAAATTCATCTCGTAAATTAGTCGTAAACTATATAATTAGTTATTTTTTAGTTTGTATTTAATACTATATACACGTGTCAAATATTCGATGGTCTGGCAAGTAAATTTTAGAGAAAGGAAGTAAACAAGGCGTAAATATACACAACACCACCACCTGGCACAGTTCAAACCAAGATTTCTCGTCTCTACCCCCGTCCTCCCCCGCTTCTTCTTCTTGCATCCGGCTCAGGATTTCGAGCGGCCTCCTAACCCCCTCCAGCTCACCCTTCCAGGAACACTCCCCTCCCGATCCGACCGCCGTAGGAGCGTCGGTATCCCCGTGTCTCCGGCAGTCTTCTCGAACCCCGGCTGGTCCCAGTTCGTGAGAAACCTCCGCATCGAATTGGCTGCCGGGCGCGGGATGCATGATTCGATTCTTGGCGGCTGCTTGTGCTTGAGCGCTTGACAGAGCTTGGCGAGCTAGGCTTTCTCTAGGTGGAAAGGTGAGCGATTTGACGAGTTCTTTAACCGATTTTGCGCTTTATTATTGTTTTAGCCTTGCTTAGCTGGTTCTTTTGCTCCTTTTCTGCCTTTCGCTTTATTCTTCGCAATATTTGATTCACTCTTTTGATTTCCTTTCCGCTCTCTCTCTCGGGTTTTAAAGACGCGGAGGGGTTGTAAAGTCTAAATCTTGCATTCACTTGGGGAATTGGATAGGTAGGGAGTGGATAAGCTTTGTCGGTAGGTCTTTTTTCCGGGGAGAATCCGCCTGAGTTCCTTGGAATAAAAGAGGATTTGCGATCCTTAGGCCTCGCGTTTCTTGATCTGCTGGTGTGGAAGTTGATCTTGATCCTGTTCCCGTTCGTCGTCTTCATGGGTAAGCTCAAAGGTTCCTTCTCTGTTTTGTTGTGTTCAGCTTGGTGGCTACTGATGCGAATTTTGAGTTTGGTAAAGGTTTCATGGTTCTTTTTTAACCACCGGGGCCATGTCGCAATTGGTGTATCATCACGGTGGTGTGGATTGTGTTGAATTGGGTGCGGGTTTGCTATCTAATGTTTGCGCATGGTTTTGTTGTTGCATGAAAAGACTGGTCTTTGATGTGATTGTTGTGGTTAACCATCAGAATCAGAAAATGGATAGTAATCTTCTGTTATGTTTATGATTGTTAGATAATTTGGGTTGGAGATGGGGCCGGAAATGATAGAGCAGGATGGAGGGTAGGAAAAGGAAGGGAAAATTCAGGAATTCTCTCAGGCGGATGGCTATGGAGTGCCTGTGCTCTGGTGAGCAGCTGAAGGGGGCAGATGAGACCGTCCGGTCATCTGATTCTACAATCACAAAAGATTTCTCGACCAGCGGGTACTCTTCTCGTAATGGAGAGATTGAGCAGTACCTTGATAATGGCAACATAGAGGAAGCCGAGTTGTCGCTCCGGGAGGGCATTTGCCTAAATTATGAGGTAAGGTGTTTTCTTTTGTGAAACAAATTTTGTTATGGCACCAAGGACAGCTGAAATACATGCTGAATGTGACTAGGAAATACCACAATTTTACCTCCTTGGGTATCTATCTTGCGCTTTAATGTGAAGATTTTTTTTGCAACAGCTAGTATGATTCCTAGTTAGGTCGATCTTGGGTTTCTTTTGTCAATTTTCCTTCCTTGTGAAGATTTTTGTACGTAACTAAATCAACCTGCGTTTCTGCAGCTAATTGCCTAATTGAATAAATGTATGCTTATCTTTTTCTTCCACCAAAATTAGTTCACTACCTCCTACCTAGCAGTTTATCCGAGCTATCCTTTTCTATGCCAAAGTATTTAAAGGGTAAATTCTTTCTAATTTCAAGAAAAGATTTACCATTTTTGTTACTGCCATTCCCTTTCTTTGATTTCTTCAGATGCTAGTATGTCATCTGTCGCAGCTCTATATTTCAGCATTACATTTGGACCTAGCTGTTTCTAGCTTGACTAATAATAGCACCTGCTAAACAGGAAGCAAGGGCATTGCTAGGAAGGCTAGAATATCAACGGGGTCATGTAGAAGCAGCACTCCGTGTCTTTGATGGGATAGACATGTCTGCATTAGTCCCTAAGATGAAAATCTCAATTGCTAGAAAAGCAGATCGTCGGAAGACTCATTCACAGTGGGATTTTAAACCAATGCCCTTGCATGCTGTCAGCCTTCTCATGGAGGCCATATATCTTAAAGCAAGAGCACTTCATGATCTTGGGAAAGACAAAGGTGAGCTGCACCTTGCTATCACTGTTGCACACATGAACAGACTTGCAAATCATGCGCAGGTGTGATTGCTTTGCATTGTGGTATATCATGTTAGAAAAGGACTGTGTTTCTTCTCTATCCCTCTCTTTTCCCTTTTGGCGCTTCAACTGTAACAATTTTATGCATGTGGCTAGTGTAACTTCAATTCAATATTTTTATTTTGCAGAAGCTGCACAAGAATGTAAAATGATATTGGATATTGTGGAGGCAGCCGTACCTGAGGGCTTGCCAGCAGGCTTTGGAAAAGGCTGTAAATTGAACGAAATAATATGCAAGTCTGTAGAGTTGCTCCCTGAGCTGTGGAAATCAGGGGGGTTTTCACTTGAAACCATTTCTTCATATAGGAGGTCACTTCTCAATAATTGGAATCTTGATGGAGAGACCATAGCAAGGATACAAAAGAAATTTGCTGTTTTTCTCCTATATAGTGGCTGTGAAGCACGCCCTCCAAATCTTCATTCTCAGTTGGACGGTTCATTTGTACCTCGCAACAATATGGAAGAGGCTATTCTTCTTTTGATGATTCTTTTGAGGAAGTTCAATCTCAAGAGGATTGAGCGAGATCCCTCTGTGATGCATCACCTTACTTTTGCACTGTCCATGTCAGGACAGCTAATTCCACTGGCTGGACAGTTCGAAGAATTGTTACCTGGTGTGTTAGACAAAAAAGAATGGTTGTACAGCGTTGCATTGTGTTATTTAGCAGAAGAGGATGATCTGAGTGCCCTGAATCTACTCAAAAGAATACTAAAGTCTGGAGAGGATTCTGATCATCTCAAAGAACTACTTCTAGCTTCAAAGGCTTGCATTGAGATGAGTGCTCATACTGAAGGTGCTTCTTATGCAAGGAGAGCCATTGCTAATATGCAGGGTGGATGCAAACCAATGGCAGGACTTGCAGACCTTTTGCTTGGTGTTGCGCTTTCTAATCAGGCTAGAAGTGCAATATCTGATACAGATAGAGCTTCGTGGCAGTGTGAAGCGCTGGAAGCCCTTGGGAATGCTGAAAAAAAGATGCATGGGAAAGATTCTAGGGCATTGTACAGTCTCAGCCTTGAAAATGCTGTGCAGAGGAAAATAGAATTTGCTGCCTTTTATGCAAAGAGGCTGGTGAAACTTGAGGCTGGATCAGAGTTGAGGAGTTGGCTCCTTTTAGCTCGAATACTTAGTGCTCAAAAGCTGTTTGCCGATGCTGAAACAGTTGTTGATGCTGCTCTAGATCAGACTGGGAAATGGTGTCAAGGAGATTTATTGCGAACCAAAGCCAGAATTCAGGCTGCACACGGGCAATTCAGAGATGCAGTTGAAACATACACCCAACTTCTTGCTATCATTCAACTTAGAACGAAAAGTTTAACTGCTGGATTTTGCTTGCCTAAGGTACTATACTACGAAACTTTTGTTATGAAACATGGTAGCCATAATTACACATTCTTGCTAGTATGCCATATACACTCGGATTATAGCAAAAGGTGCAATTTCCTTGTTGCTATTTGATTGTTTGGTAGCATATTCTTCTGGTTAAAGCAGTATACATTATATAGTGATCTGAAGGCATGCAGATTTGATAGTTCAATACTTGTTTCAGTTCTGATATTCATGAACAGAACATGGTTCTTTCTTTGTTCAGAACAAAGCATAGTTCTGTATTTTTTTTTAATTATTGTGAGCTTACTCTGATATCCTTTTTTCTGCCAACAAAAGGATAAGTTCTGGTCACAATGGATTTGCATAGCAGACAATAGACATAGGGTTATACATCCTCGATCTTTTTGGTTATAAGTTTTATCTATACCATGTATTTAATTTCATTTAGGGCGTGCTTGGTTCCTAGAAGTTCCCTCGCCTTGCCTTGCTTAACAAGGACTGCCCTTTGGCTCAAGTGCTTGGAATCTTGCTTCGCCGACAACTTTGCTTGCCGCATGGATTTCTTTGTCCGTGCAAGCGAGCCAAATCGGCTCGCCCACTCAACCAAGGTCGCTGGCTGCTCGTCTTCCTGTGCTGCTGCTCAATGACCCAACTGCTTCTCAGTGGCCTGGCTGCTGTACCACTGCGGCGAGGGCAATGACCCAGCGAGCTGGTTGCAGCACCGTGCTGCCCCAGATCCAGCTGCCAGCCCTCAAATTAAATCTCCTCCCCACAGAGATAGAGATCCATGGTGCCCAATCAGGTTCTTTGATGCCTCAAACTAACTCGTCTTTTTTTCCGCGACCGTGATGATGTTCTTGCCCTAAATCAAACTCATCTACTCTGGAATCGACCTCCTAAGAGTTGGAATCGGCTTCGTCAATCATGATTCATGAATTGAGCTTCCTGCTATTGTATCAAGGGTTTCCCCACCTCAATCGTGCTCCTGGCCACCGATTCAGGCTCTAGTATGGATGAGTTCATGGTCTATAGGGGGAAGAGAGGGGAGAAGGGAGGAGAAGGAGAGCAAGAGAACCAAATAGAGAAAGGAAACCTCACCTTGCTTTGCCGGTTGGGGGAGGCGAGCTTGGCAAGGTGAGAAACAGTGGCAATGGTTCTAAGCACGCCCTTAATCTCTACACGGAACTACTGAGACTTTTGCCGGTTGGGGAAGGCAAGGCGAACAACCTGCTGTCATCTTTTAGCTTTTAATGCAGTTGTTTGCCCATAGCACAGTAGCAATTAGGTTCAGTTGGTCATGCTCTTGTGTTACTTTCTACAGGACAACAAGGATGATAAAGGCCTGGAAACAGAGACCTGGTATGATCTAGCTCTCTTATACCTAGGTATGGCACAATGGAGAGATGCAGAGGTCTGTGTATTGAAGATAAGATCCATCAGTCCTTATTCTGCATTGGCTTGGCATGCTACAGGTGATTCCTGTTCATTTCTTCTAAATATGACTGAAATCTAGCTCGCCGCATTTTCATTTTGTTTTTTGTTGTGACCTTGATAATTAAAATGTATATCTAATTCTAATGTCGAATCAATAATTTCCAACCATATAGACCTATTCAGAGTCTTACAGCTGCTAGTTCATAAATTTGAACTATTTTCTTTTTCAAATTGTTAAATTTGGTAATTCAATTGTAGATGTATTATGTATAGCATTCAGTTGTATGTTGAGTTTTATCTACATAAGCTTCATCATAAGTCGAGGATTTGAGAACCAGATACATTTATTTCAGTAAACTTTGACAACAGCCACCTTTTACCCTGGATACTTCCTTTCATATTTTTCACAAAGTATTCATTTTCAGGAAAAATATATGAAGCAAAAGGTCTTACAAAAGAAGCTTTGGGAGCTTTTTTCAGAGCTTTAGACCTTGATCCTAAACATGTCCCAAGTTTGATATCAACTGCCACTGTTCTGCAACAACTTGGTGACAGGCCATTGCCTTCTATACGGTGCTTCCTGACTGATGCATTGCAACTGGATAGAACTAATCATGTTGCATGGTTCAATCTTGGCCTGCTTTACAAAGAGGAAGGTGGTAGGTCAGTGGCTGAGGCTGTTGAATGCTTTCAAGCTGCTGCTTTTCTTAAAGAAACAGCACCTGTAGAACCTTTCAGATGACAGATATGTCTACAGGGGCTATAGATGTAAGCTACTGTATGTATTTTTGATATATTTCACTGATGAAATAGTGGATTACAGAGTTCTAGAAATGATCTTCTTGGGGAGATCATAACATCAGAAACTGTTGGAAAAAAATGTTTAACAATTCAATCTATAGTTCCAATTGTTGCCTATGTAGCAACAAGAAAGACGATGCTCTTCAACCTTGTGTAGGAACAGTGCTTACTGTGATATATAGATAGATGACCAGTACATTGTGTATCTTGAGTAAAATGGTTTCACATATGAGGTATCAGACTACACTCTTTGTTTATTAAGAATTTAGTAAAGATATAAAAGATGTTCTGGGGTCCTTCAGTATTTACTATTAACTGTAACCTTCCATGCATGTCAATTATGGATTACAAGTTATTGATTGATTGCCTATTTCCTGATATCTGATGTTAAAAAAAAAACTGACCCTACTTAACCTTGTGATTGGACATGACAGTGCCAAATACTCCCTCGGTTCCAATTATAAGTCGTTCTGGCTTTTCTAGATACATAGTAAAAGTTATATATCCAGACATAGCATATATCTAGATACATAACAAAAGCTATGTACCTAGAAATGACATAATGACTTATAATTTGGAACGGAGGGAGTACTTGAATTATGAGTCATTTTTAGTCCACATTGCACATGTTTTGAAGCATCAATGGTGTGCTATCATCTATTGTGACAGTACTGTGTAATTTCTCTTGAGGCCTTCCCCATGGAAGGCCCTTCATTTGCTGTCAACTTGTCATGTTGCAGCTTAGCTAGTTACATCAATTAATGGGGCAGATATTGGTCTCTGTACAGCACTAATGAAATGGTATACCAGATTGCCAGCAACTGATTGAATTATGTCACAATCTTGTCTGGTTTTGCCCAAGTCTGAAGGACAATTGCTGGTACGTGTTCTTTTCAACCAATGAGTAATGATGAGACCATGGCTTCCTGCTTCTTAGTGTGCCTTTATCTTTACTGTCTTTGTACTAAAATTTTTGAGGGTTGTCCTTGCCAAGGTTTAACTATGCAGGTAAGTGTAGAATACTGTTGCCTAAAAAACTGTTAGTTATATGTGGTACTGGTTTGATTTTTTTTTTTTTTTTTTTTTGCGTATTATCAATTAGTTTAACCACAAGATCTAAAAAATATTTGATCCTCCAATCATTTTTAGCTGTGATTCATCATATGACTTAATTCTGTCATTTTCTGTTGTTTCCAGTTTACTATATCATAGCAGTACAATCTGTACATGTGCTTTATTTCGGAGTCACTAGAGTTTTAACCGTATGATATTATTTTTCATTCATTTGTTGTCTAATTGATTTGAGTTGTTTGTCTGTACAGGTAAACATCTGGAAAGTTCAACCATGGAAATATTGAGTTGTAATGTATGTAACTATGGAACATGGAATCAGTAACTAGGATACTAGGAATATATATCATTGTTCTCAATGCAATTTTCAGGACCTTTATGTGTTTTTTTACATCCTCTGTGCAAATAAAGGCAGATACCCAACTTTGTTCCTTGGATTTTTGGTAGATGCATTGTGATTGTGATCTTGTGTTTTATTGTCTAGTCAATCCTCATGGGTGCACTATTCTAGAGTTATATAAACCGTTCCAGATTTGCCACCCTGTTTTGTTGGATGGGCGAGATCTAATAATATCCACCCAAATAGCAGAACCTCAGAGCCTGATTCGGTTGTATAAGAAGTTTCATTGTTGTTTGGTGATGCAAATATGAGTCTTAATGCTATCTGTTCCATAGCTGTTTAGTGATGCAAATATGAGTCTTATGCTATCTATTCCATGCTTGTGCTAAATTCTAAGGCCGAGGATTGGTGAAATTATAATAATTCACAGAGTGTATATAACAAATCTAATGCTGACTGCTGAGTATTCACAAAATTGTAGTGTTGTGTTGGTAGGTCAGGTTCTACCAAATAGCTTAAATTCAGATTTTGAGGCATGAATAATCGAGGTTGTAGACTTGTGATCTATGCAGGTCAGGTTTTGCAGTATATTATTCATATTTCCACTTCATGTTATGGTTGGAGCAGAGTTTACTAGTAGTTATGAATGTTCTGTGGCAGTTATCTCCTGCTCTTAGATTGATGCTACTGCCTACTGCGGTACTGCCTGTTCTCTCCCCTGAATGGTTGTAGATATTCGCCCTGTTTGCTTAAACTTATCAGCTCGGCTTATCAGTCATGGTATAGTGTTTTTCCCTCGCAACAAAACAACATCAGCCGGCTTATCAGCCGTAGAAACCATCAGCTGAAAGCTAATTATAATTATTGTCCATGATTTGTTTGCTCAGTTGTAGGAGCAAAATGAAAATTCTTTTTCTTTTTTCTTTATCTTAAAGGGTGAAATTCTTTGTTTTGACTTCTGACTTATGGGGCTATTGTGGTATATTATCATGATTATGTGCATATACTGTATTTGACAATTTGACATAGGTTATGTTTGGCACGGCTTTGGTGGAGCACCTTTTGCGGAAAAGCTGTGCCAAACACTTTAGAATGAGTAAACAGTAGATGATCTGGAGCTGTTTGAGGTCATAAATCAAAGCTGCCAGTTTTGTGGTCATAAATCAGAGGCGCCAAAAGTGGCCATGTTCACTTCTCTTATAATCCGTCTTTTTCAGCTTGTTTTTTCAGCCAGAACAGTGTTTTTCTCTTACAACAAATCAGCCGGAATAGTATTTTGGCTTGTTTTTTCAGCGAGGCAAACGGGGCCTAAATGCTCAGCTTGTCTAGAGGAGCACTTGAGGAGCACTGCCAAACTTCCATAATGCCCCCTACCCTAAATACAACCTACTTATGAACATAAGTGAAAAGTACTAATACGTGTTTTAGATGGGTTTATACGGATTAGCACCATATTCGTTTGATCTTATCAGCCATGATACAATGTCTTTATCTCACAACAAAACAGTATCAGTCGGCTTATAAGCCACAGAAACGAAGCGAACAGGGTGTAATGTAAGGAAGAGTTATTTTGTATTTGTATGCCACGTCTACCTCATGCAAGATTCTCCTCCCACTAGGTTGGTTTCGCTGAAATGAGATTGAAATCTCTCTCTCACGGGCTTGACTGGCACAGTGCAACTTGGACGCTTATTATCCCTAAATCAGTAGTTCGATGCAATCTGGCTAGAGAAAAACAAGCAACCGAATAAAAATGTCCGCAACCACGTGCGCACATATTGGCCACCGTGAGAATGGTTTTAGCCCTGCCAGACTGTTGTCGAGCCACTCAACCAATCACACTACTATAGCTAAATTGATCGAATATTTGTCCTAGCTAGTCAGGTTGCGGGCCCGCAAGCAGCTAGTTCAGCGCCGCTTTGTGCCTGAGAGATGATTCGACATGAAGCTCAAGTCTTCCAATGCAGTCATGGCTTTATAACTGATCGGAATCATTTGGTGATCTTGTAATGTTCCTGTCAGGCCTTGAACCGAGCCCAGTGTTCTAGTGTCTCACGAAGTCACCGTCGAACGAGTTATCGTATTCCCTCGGTTCTAAAATAAATGCATAACTCGTGCCCGATAAGTCAAAAAATTTAAAGTTTAACCAAATTTGTATAAAAATATATTAATATTTATGATATGTAATAATTATCACTAGAATGAGCATAGAGTATACTTCCATAACAAAATTATTTGAAGATAAAAATGCTGATACTATTTTCTATATTCTTAGTCAAACTTTTAAAAGTTTGACTCCTTAAAATGTGATATGTGCATTTATTTTGGGACGAAGGAAATATGTCGAATCTCAAACTTTCAACATTAGACTTGGAGAGAAATTACCCACCACTACCATAGATTACATGACCTTTGTATCATTCCGTTTGTCGGAACTGCTGGCGCCTGGGCGTCTGATTGGATACCGATCCTTCGGACGGTACCGTGGCTTTCGTTTCCCCTGTGCGTGCCTGCACTCCGCGCCCGTGCCAGTACGCCTACGCCTGCTTTTCGTGCGCCCACACGGGGGCTGCTCACACCCCCTCTTGCTTCCCAGGCGCATCCCGTGTGCAATACCCGATCTACTTTTGAAATATCCAGATACAACACTTGCAACATACGTCTAAAGATAGATGAAACACTTGAAAACCATTACAAATATACGCAACATCTAGATAGAATACTTGCAACATATGTGTGAAACATTTAGCAACATCCAGATAAACACACTCGCAACATACATTTGAAAAAAAAAGATGAAATATTGGGGATAGACGCTTGCAACATACGTATACAACCATTGCAACATAAGTAACATTCCGATCTATGTTTACAACATCTGTATAAAACACTTGCAACATACCTCTAAACATATGAAACATTTGAAATATACACCTGCAACATGCATCGTATCCCGATGCGGCCTCCTCCACCGTCAGCATCGGGGCGTCTCAGCCGTAGCAAGAGACAAGGCTGGAAGGCTTCCGCGCCAGGGCCCGGCGCTTCTCCTTGCGCTGGCGCCGCCTGTCGACATTGTCAGGCGGGGCGGGCACGCGGAGCAGGAGCAGCGGGGCGGGCGGCGGAATGGGAGTAGGAGGCGATGGGGCAAATGGTAGGAGCAAAAGAAGGGATGTACGTGAGAAGTCTATTGGGCTAGTCGCAGGCCAGGAAGAGGCCTCTGGATGGGGCGGATGTCCTACATAGCATTTTCGTTTATTTATTTTCTTTTGCTTCAGCTCCGGAGCTTCCTTCCCGCTCCTTCCATTCTTTCCCAGTTGTCGTCCCCTTTCTCCCTAGGCTACGAGATGGCTGTTAGATGCTCCTTGGTAGGTTGGAGCTCATCGACGACGACAAGGAGCATGTCGACTTTTTAGGTCATCAATGTTCATGGACCACTGGTTAGATTCCAGTAGAGAGCTCGAGTTGGTAAGTGGCGACTCCATGACCATGGATCAGATCCCTGGTAGAGAGCTTGAGTCGGTAGGTGGTGG